ACCAATGAGGGGGAAAAAAACAACACAAGTACAAAGTTTCCAAATGTACTCAGGGATAAAGCTGTTGATTTTTAGACATGTTCTATGGATCGAATCGAAAATGTGTCTGTCCACTATGACCTTTGTTACATTTTGGAAATAGAAAAAGAAGATTGTAAGCCTGATAACACAATCCCAACAGTAAGATAAAAGCTGGCAGCATTAAACGTGGTGTCTTGGCTGCAGTATGGACTGTTGCTTTTCACAAAATAGATGGGATATGGGAAAAGAACAGTGAGCAAAATACTGAAGCAAAATCTTAAGAAATCAGACAGAAAGTTAAAGCTAGGGCACCATTTCACAAAAATGCCCAACTAAGTATTTAGCAAAATCAGTTACAAAATGGGTTATGATAACAATTTCAAGGCCATCTCAAACCCTCTGATTTTCATTTCATTGATGATTTTGTTGTTCAGAACTTCTGTATAAGGGTGGTATAAGGGGGTCGAGCCACAACGGCAAGTCTCTTACCCTTAAATACTAAGAAAAGCATGTAAACTTATGTATTTGTAGATACATAGGAACATTTCAAAAATAAACTTTTGTTCAATATCTTTACACTGAGAAAATATAAACAATTTTAATGATTAAAAGAGGAAACATAAAATCTAATCTAATGCCAGATAAAGACATGGTTAGTCACTTTATGTGTATACAAATATGTAGGAAAAATCTTGTCAGCTCAACATGCTGCAGTGATGACCAAGAAACAAACATCTACACATAGTCTAAGAGAAATTACCTGGCACAGGGAGGGATGCTTCCACCTTGGGGTTCACAAGGCTCTGTCTCCTCCAGTAATGGACACTCAATGCCCTCACCAACGGGGAACTGAAGCACTTGTCGCCTTCGAGTCCGATTTCCTCTTGGAGTCTCAGGATCCACACAGGTCTTGGAGCAGGAGCTCCAGTTGGTCCATTCGGTTGCCTGGCAATCTTTAGGAAGAACGCAGGACTGGATGGTGAGCGGTAGTTCCCGAGGTATGCACAAACTGAGAGGGAGTCAAAATTAAAAAGACAGAAGCAGGGTTAAGTGTGGTGTTATGAAAATCTGAGGAAATTCAAGGTATTCTAGGCAGAATAAAAAATGTTTAGTGGGCACAAAGGAGTGTATTATGGTACATCTAGAGTTTCATCAGACTTAGAAATTCCTTAACATAGGAAGATTGGATATCCCCAAAAATCTGAATTTAAAATTAGAAAGTCAGAGATTCCCGAGGACCCCAAGTTCAGATTCAGTAAGGCTGTCAATCACGTACGGCACAATCAAAATACAATTCTAACAGTTTATTTTTGGCTACAGATCATTGAAATTAGTGGACCAAATAGCAACCCATTATAAAAATATATCTTTAATAACTGTTCTGTATTTAACAAGAGATTTATTAAGTGAGATAACTCCAAAATTCTTCACATTACATTCAGTTATTTTCACATTTCACCCATTCATACACAGATGGTGGTAAGCTACATAGTAGCCACAGCTGCCCTGGAGCAGACTGACAGAAGCCAGACTGGCACATAGCCGATGCCATTGGGCCATCTGAGCATCAACAGCAGACAAAGTGGTTGAAGTGTCTTGCCCAAGGACACAACAACTGGGACAGTCAGACATAAGGCCTGTAGAGAATGAAAGCTAGTGGTGTTACTCACCATGCTTTACAACTTAAAACTATAGACCATTATATCACGGTGTGAAAATCATTGACCGATAAATGTTTTGACTTCTAGAAAAATGTACATATCTGCATTAGCAGGGTAGGTACAATTTTATATAAATAAAAAACCATTAATTAGTTAATTAAAATTTTCCGTCCTATAAAATCAACTTAGGATAGATTCTGTCTTCTGCATTGTGTTGAGAGCACCAGCACGTCAAATTCCTTTCTAAAAATGAAGGTAATTTGTTATTGTAAGCCAAATTGTTTTTCATTGTTTATGCTAATCTTCTGTAACAGGAAACAGCATGATTTCAATGAGATCAGAATCAGCATCTTTGTCTGTTTCGTAGCCAAACAAAAGGTTTTTGAGGAACAGCAATGTGGGTTTGTATGTATACAAGTAAAATTAGGGAAATAGACGTTGCTTGGACTCCAGAACATATATGAACATTGTTGCGTTGTTTTTGGAGGGAGAAATTTTTTTTAAAGGACTAAATATGATGGCTGACAGGTGTAAACATGCAGCAAAGGATGAAACAAGTAAACACCATAAAACTATATAATAAATATAACATTAACATTTTTATCCTGCCTTTGACAGAGTCATTAGCTGTTCTTATTAACATACAGGGTGCATAATGAGATTCCCATCAAGAATGAAACAGGAGTCTGTGCACCAATAAGTCAAGTGTTAACACCACTACAACAGGCTGTGATCCATTGTCCCCCCACATCTTTTGATCATCTAACAACATTTAGTGGTAATGAGTAACCCGTCCTCCTTCGGTCCCTTTCCAATCATTAGAAATTTGTTCAAACCAAAGCCGGCTGTTTTCTGCGACATGTTCTAGAAGCCCTCTCCCTCGAGGCAATGCAGCTGACGAGCTATTAGTGCTAATTACAGCTCTGCTTCATTTAGAAGCCTCTCATTTAGACGCTACCACCGCACTTCACCTCCAGCATCTCAGACTTTTTGTATAAATCAGGAAACATATGAGGAGTATTTTTTCTTTATCTTATGGCTCCTGTGTCTTTCCAGATTATAACACCACTGCAGGGTTTGAAGTACTACCAAAGCGACACTGTGAATAATCCCAAGTTTGTTTTTCTGCCAAGTGCACATGGTGTGCTGGCTCATTTCTGCTTTGGAGGAAAACAATGAGAAATTTAAACAACAGTCAAAGTGGCGCACCGAGGGGCGATGGCTCAGTTTATGATTTCAGATGGAACCTCTTTCAAAAAGCACCTAATGCAGCCAGTGACCCATTTTCTCTCCCATCTTTGAATCCTTTGAGACGCTTGTTTTGTGGATGTATAGGCATTTTGATGTAGACCTCAAAGCTGTAGATAGAAGACATCATTTTTTTATCCAAGTCATTCAAACAGAATAACGACAACATCCTTTTCTAGTTAACATGTAACCTAGTTTAGAGGAAATTTTCTTTTTAAGCCTTTAGGTTTTAAGATTGCTGCATATCTAACAATACAAAGCAGGTCACAGATTTCATACTTTATCTCTTGTGTGGTGCTGCTGAAAGAGTGTGAAAAACACAATTCTGCATGAGTCAAAAGATTAAAGAAAATATTTGTTTTCAAACTTGAAAGCCCAAAAAGAAACAAATCGAATTGTATGGTACTACAGTCAACTGTTTCCTATAAAATCCTCCCCCACCCAGCAGCAAATTAAACTGATGAACCAGCAGAGAAAGCTAAAAACTTTGTTTTAAGAAAGCTTCCTATGTGGAACAAGTCAGGCACCATAGAGAAGAAAGTGTCCCAGCGACAGATGTTCATCAAACAAAATTAGAAATTAAGCCAGCAAGATGTTTGGGGGACGTCTGGCTAGGACACGACTGGATCTTTGCTTCTCTGGGAAGTTTGCTCTAGTTTCCATGAGCCGCAAAACAACTATGAATATTTTAGAACAAGAAATAAACAAGTCAAGGATTAATATTAATGCTCCTAAGAGTATGCAAGTTGGTATTCATGGTTTCTTTAAAATTATTGATCCCAGCCAGTGGTAAAAGCCCAACCCTAACAAAGCATCGGTGACTAGATATTTAAGAATTAAAGCTTTACCATAAAAAATGCGTGACTTTAGGCTTTAGGCTGTTTCTAGCAGGAAGCCCTGGATAAACCTTTCAAAATCGAAACCTGTAGGAAGAAGTTATAACCTTTAATAGATGACTAGCGTCTAAATAAAGATGCTGCAACAACTAAAATAGAACATTGCATTAAAAGAATTCAGAGCTGCCCTAAAGTTGTGCTATAGTGCTTAATGCTCATTATTCCCAAGATTAATCACCTTCATTAAAAGAATAACTTATAGCAACTTGATCTTTCATTAGCTTAAGTTGAATAAAAGCTGTTACGTGTGTTAGTTTCAGCAGCTATACATATAATTGAAGATCAGTCACTTTTTTCTTAGGAAATAGTCCCATATCAAATATTCTCCAAATAAAAACATAACAGATTAATAAAGCACTTTTTTAAGTCAGATTAAGTGTATTTTTTATATAACCTTTAATGAGTTATAAAGCATAGTTTTAATTATTCAACCATTCATTCTGCAATCAATCATTCTGGTGATAAGTTTATGTAAGACTGTCCTATGTGCTTGTTCCTTGTCTTTTCCTGCACATTCGTATTTGGGTGTATACGTATGTGTGGTGAGCTACGGTTTAAGCCAATCATTGAAGCTTGTCCATATCTTTTTTTGGAAAGTAAGCTTGAATGAGCAATGCTAACAGCAACTTGTAAACAGAGCGTGCACAAGGAGAAATGGGTTTGTGCATGCTCTTACACACGTTTAATAGGCGTTCCCTCTCGGCAGTAGGTACAGGGTTGTGCATGTGCATTTCTTTTTAAATAGCAGAGGGCAGATCTTTTTTAAAGTTTGGGAAACTCCTCCCCTATACCTTTAAGATATTCTGATGCAACACTCTAGTTCTAAATGTTGTGTTTTTTTCTGTCACACAATGAAAAAAAATAATAACATAAATAAAGTGTGCACTTTGTTTATAGCATTTAATAAAAGTCTTTATAGGTGTTGCAAAAAGATCCTTGAACCTATCTCTTATGGAGCAATGAGCAGCATGTAGGATCTGGGAAGTACTGGCATGACAAAGGTGTTTGTAAGGGATCCAGAGTGACAGTCTGAGGTTTGAACTGCGATCTTGCATTCTCTTCAAGACATAACTGCCTGCTCTCAAAATAATAACGACTGTATATCATGCTAAACCCTAATGTGGTCATTGCATTGTAATTAGTGCAGATGCATCAGCTCGACAGTTTTAAGAGTGTGAAACATTGGCTTCTGTATTCATTTTTAACAACCCAGTTCATGTAACCGGTTTGCATTCATATTCTGTCATAATAACAGAAAAATATATTCTGTTACAAAGACAGGTGTGTACACCAATGGTCTTCAACTAAAGAACTCAAGGTCCAGTGTCCAGCACCTTTTAGATGTGTCTCTGCTCTAACAAACCCAGGTCAAACTACCAGTTGGACTCCTGAAAGGATACAGGGGAGGCAATTCAGCCGTTTGAATGAGGTGTATGGAAGCAGAGACACGTCTAAAAGGGGCAGGACATTGGAAGCATTGGGGATTGGAATGGAAGAGCCATTAGGATTTTTGTAAATGAGAGACTTTTAGATCAGGAAAGTCATCTTTATTTGCTCTTTGGCTGTATTTTTTTGTAAATTGTGACTCCTCGCCTCTCCCGATTTGTAATCTTGATCCATATTAGGGATGATTACATAACTCAGTACTGTTAAAGTCGTGACCAAACTTTGTTGGAACTACTGAGTAGACCAAGTGTTTGAGATGATGTCAGCTTCCAATCCTTCAGTGTATGATTTCTCCACAGAGGGGGTTACAGTCAGTGTGGAGTGAACTTTGGTCTTACCCAACAACAAACAAACAGATTTTTGTTTTAATAGGAAAAAAGATAAAAAAACAAAACAAATGCACTTTGCAGCAAAGAAGTAAGCTGCACATTCATTTGCAATAAAATTTTTTACATTTATCTTTTTTACTTAAGCTTCTTTTGCTCATGTGTTTTACATTTATTCGACCACCATGGACCCCCATCACACCATTTTTCTGAAGAGGAAAGAATAAAGATAGGAATAGGTGGAGCTGGGTTTTATTTGTGCATTATTATGCACAAACATCATCATATTGAACACATTTAAAAAGAAAAAAAAAAAACGATTGTGGTCTTAATACTTTGGGTTTTATAAATATTTGTTTAAATGTTAAACTGTAAAAACTGAGCTGTTATTAAGCAAATTTACATTTATAATCGCACAGACACACATTAAAATAGGAACCATTGAGTCAAAAAGCCTATTCCCACGTACCGCACATAGGTACCTAATTGGTGCAAATGCAAAAGGTAACCGACTCTAATCGAATGACATTGAAATTAATCAGATTTGCTTGGTGTGTTCTATTTTACCACTGCAATTGTAATACATATCTATACTCCATCTGTAATATGAATTTAAGTGAATTTCTGAACATAAAGCAACAGTGGCTTACTTTAGTTTGGTTTTATACCCTTTCTCTGTGCAGGTCTTGGAGCGTGCAGTCCAGGATGTGGTTGTTTCATGTTTACTGTTCTAACCAGAATAAACAGAGAACCGGCCCATCTCCCTAAAATCATGGCAAATCCTTGTAGTGTAACCAGCATTACTCAGAACTGATCCGGTTATGTTCAGGCACATTTGTTTTTGCAATTATGCCATTTGAATATTTCTCTTCTTACCACAACATGACAGGTAACAAACAGGCTTAAATCTGAGATTTTGGCTCAGTTTTTCTGAAAAGAACAGAAGAACAGAAAAGAACAGAAGTGTTTATCAACTGGTTATACTTTTGTACCTTTTTCAGAAAAACTGAACTAAAGTCCGTTTGTCTCTGATACACAAGCAGATCATCATGATTTAAATGGCTAAACAAAAAACCCTTACATAACAACAGACTCCATAAAGCCAGGAGAACGATGGGTTGATCATTAATTTGAATCTTTCTTTGGAGGTTGGGCTTCCCGATGCTCAGAAACACCAGTGCTGCAAATACAGTTTACTATGGTACCAAAAACTTTCAGAAAAATGGAGCCAAAGCCCTGTTGCCTCTGATTTAAGCTTACATGGAGGGAGAATTGTTAACAATTAAACTGAAATTTGCTTTAAAAAAAAAAAAAAAGCTTTTTCTTTAAACAGAAAGATATGTTTACTATGATCACTGACATTAACCTATCTTTAGCATAGATTTAGGTCTGATTTTGTTTCTTTTTTTGGGAGGCCATTTTTTATCTCCAAATAGCTTTCATACCAGGAAGTTATTTGCTCCATCCAGCTACTCAACCTTTGAAGTTTACCATATTGCCTACAGTACATTGCTTCCATGACAACCACATGCATGCTGACATTATAACACACACAACATTATTTAAATATAGGACTTCTTAAGACATCTTAATATAACTGCACTGAATGTCAATAAGTAGAATGAGATCAAAGCACAGTATACATTGCATAAGTGCAGAAAGCCTGAGATCTTTAAGTCAAAGTTAAAAAACAATTTGTTTGGTCTGCCTTCAACTGTTGAAGTTAAACTGTTACAGTAACTGATGTATTATTAGTTTAAGGTTGTGGTCCAACTGTTTTCTTTGTTTTACTACCTGCTTTTATCAGGTTTTGATCTTAATTTGCTTTTACTCTGCTTTTATTTTAATTTTATTTTATTGTTCGATTCGTGTAAAGTTCTTTGGATTGTCCATGTACTAAATTGTGCAATACAAATAAACATCTCCTGCCTTGCATATTTCTAGTCATACACAATGTTAATACCATTCATCCTTTTCCTTCTAGCTCCATGTATAATCTTGATTGTTTCTATCAAAGCCATAAGATACCAATAAAACCCTTTATAGTTTGGTGTTATATCATAAAAAAGAATTCTACCAATGTTATTTTTCGAGCAGTTTAAGACGACCTAGACCGATTTACTTTCTTTTGCACAATCTGAACTTTATGGATTCCTAACCCAGACAATGGTTAGTATGTGACAAACCTTACGAGCTCACATAGTTGTAAGGATACTTCTATCTACTGCTTATATCAGGCCAATTTAGCAACAGTTAAACAAAAATGCTGATACAGAAAATAAAGGAATAGACTCCATGTGGATTATCGGATATAAACAAATGGGAATTTTGAAGTTTCCTTCAAATCTAGACTTCCAGGAGGTTCATTTTCCAAAGACGTATAAAAAGTTAAATATCCTGTCTTCACGTCATGTCAGAGCAAGTTCTTTGTATTATCCCTGTCTGCCATACTGTCTCTGAGGGGTTTGATAAAAACATACAAATACAGGATTTCTTCAGAAATGTTGATTTCAGACTACTGGAAAGTTCATATGACAGACCTTCCTGTCAGACATTGTGCTCTCAGATACATTGTCAGATAGAAAATGTGTGCAGCAAGTGAATGGAAACTGACAGCCATTAATCTTTCTTATTTTCAGTCTGACAATGTGCCTTTGTAGCTCTCAGCAAGAATAATGACAGGTCAAACAGGTTAGATCCGACATGAAGCAACTCAGATTTAAAGCATGTTTCTTGAATAATAGTTCACTACTTTAAGTATTTTGAAAAGCTACAATTTTTTTACTTCCTTTTCTTGGGTAAAATTACTGACTTGTCTCACTGCTCTTAATGTGTTGCATCAATCAGTTTTTGTCCTACCTCCAATCATTTTAGTCTGACCTTTCCTTAAATCGTCAAATACCAACATGTTCTAGAGGAAGACAAACTAACAATTAAAAGGCAGAAATATAAGTAAGCCTTCAGAAATGTTTTAAGAAGCAAAAAAGTTTTTTTTTCAAACTACACATTTTAACAGCAAAACGCTTTTAAACAGACATGTACTTAGATGACAATCTAACATCAGGACATATTGGCCAAAAAAAAAAAAAAACGCTTTACAAAAAATAAAGACACTTCAAATAGTAAAGTTAAATGGATGTGTAGCTACACATTTACAAAAAGACAATGGACGGAGTGCTCTGGCTTTCTCCAATGATCGCCTATGGAAAAATATATAAATTAATAAAATAATAATTCATTTTCTTGCTTAAAATAAAGATCTCTTTGCTTATATTTGTCCAAAGATAATAGGCTGGGGAATTCGATCTTTGTTTTCACTTAGCATGTCAGAAAGGTGAAGGAGAGACCTCTAAGCTCCAGATGCAGCTTGATTTTAATTTAAAATTCCAAACATATCAATGGGAGAAATGTTCTGGACGGACTTAAGGGGAAAATAAGGGATTAAAAATGTAGACAGACTTTTGGAGTTTAAGCCGAGTAACTCTATTAAAAAGCACAGAAATCCCTTATTAGAAAACCAGCAGGGAACATCATCACTCTTCAGAAACTTTCAGCTAGCTTTCTGCTGCCTTGTATTTTCTGTTGTCTTTTTTCTTTTATGCTTTGGTACCCATTTCTCAATTCTGATCATGAAAATTAACTTGTTTTGTTAAGTGCTAAAATTGAGAGGTTTTAAAATAGTATCCTGCAAGTACAAAGGCTTTTACAAGCCTTAAAAAAAACGTACGTTGAGTTTTATTTTAGATTTATGATTCCATTTTAAACTTTTATGACCTGGCAATAAGTTCTGTCATATTGAGTAATGCTTGATTTCTTAATGAAATAGCAATTCAAAATGCAAGGAGAAAAAAAAAAAAAAAGGAAAACTATTTTTTGCGAAAAGCAACAAAGTCATGGCTAAGATTGATCTTGTGTCACAGAGGGAGCCTTTTTGTGCCACTTCCCTCTGCAGAACTCTACATCAAATACACTTTAACGACAGTTGTTCCTCATTGCTTTGGCAGCGTGGCGCTGACAAGGACCCAGCCGACAAACATCTCCCTGAATGTGTCACCTCCTGACAGGAAGCAACCAAATTCTGTAGGATAAATGTTTGGCTGTCATGAGTAACAGCTGTATTAAAGAGGTAAATGACCAACAGGCAGGAAAGAAGATTAGAATCCAGATGAAGGTATAAAGTACTGAAAATTAGGATCTACTTCATGTCTAGATTTATTGTGCATCATAAAACATTTGCTCTAAAACTGCAGAGATTAAAAAAAATAATAAAATCCAATAACAGCTTCACACAATGAATAAGAAAAAAGTCTGTCACCTACTTGCGTCCCACTCTGCTCCCGTTCCTGTGTATGCAGTTCACTTCCCGGGTCTGGTATCCAACCTGAATGTCCCAGAATGGACTCTCTTGCCGGTTAAGGCGGTTCCTGGTCCGTTTCTTTTTAATCAGCTCTCTGGTTTCAGGATCTTTTACCCCTCCTTGCTCTCTCAGTCCTTGGCCTTTCCCTTTCCTTCGCTTGGCTTGCCGTGTAGTTCGAGTTTGTGGTAAGGTGCAAGCGCTCCATGGTCCAACCATAAGGCTGTACACTCCCTCAGGACCCAAGCAAGGTCCTGGTTTACAAGACTCAAATTCAGTGAGATTAGGACAACCGGCTCCTCCAAAAAGTGGAGGAACCAGAACGCTGCGTATTCTGTTCCTAAGGCCTGTTCCACATGTTTTGGAGCACGAGGTCCATGGAGAATACTCTGATACAACACAATCCTGGGGGCAAGGGATCAAACAAGCCTGCTCCAGGCGTGGCTTGGGCTCAAAGTATTCACAGATGGCATCCTCTGCTGGAGACCCATCTGACTTGAGCATGCAGCCCACCTCCCGGGTCTGAATGCCCTCTTCTCCTCCACTGCATGTGAACTGCCGTGGAGCCCCAAAGGTCCTCGCTGAAACTGGCATGCACTCATTCCAGGCACCCAGTTTCCAGTCATACAGGTCCTTGTGCCAGTCACACACACGGAAACAGTTCCTCTGGTTGGAGGGACGCTGACCCTGGTCACAGTTGGTGTGAAGAGTCGTCCAGCCGTCCACGTGGGCGCACCAGACAGCGCGGCTTTGGCTTCCTCCTGGACCACAGTCACTGCCCATGCATCTCCCCCACGGACCTGCAAATGAAATGGGATCAGTTACAGTGAGGAAAAGGAGCATCATACCTCTGTTTTAAACCATAATATAAGAATATTTATTGACATATATATTTATTGATATATATATATACAGTATATCATTCTAACATTGTTTAAGGAAGGTCTAGACATTACTGTATCTCAAGATTAAACTGTTTCAAAAGAATAGGCTAAGAATGAAGGAATTATTTAGTCAAAAAAACATTTTTGGATATTTCACAATTGATTAAAAACCTTCAATTGACTTTTAATCGATAAATAGGTCAACAGTCTCTTTTAGAGCAATCCCCGATCAAAGACACATGAATCTATAATTGAATCAGGAAAATAACTAAATTATAAGCATATCACAGACAGTTGGCAAATAAATTTGATTTGGTATAAATTGGGGTAGAGGCAAATGGAAAAGTTAGGCTCCACCTATACTTTTATTTACAGACTTTTTTTTTTTTTTATTTTTACAAGTGGCAACCCCCAGGTAAGGTTGCTTTTATCTGAAATAGTTCAATAGCAAAGATTATAGTTGATCAAAGTGAAACATCTGAAAGAGCAAAGTGCTGTGCATTATCTTTTGCATTTATCAAAACCTATTGGCAGCCAGTACAGTAGATGTTGCTTCAAACATTCTATATCACCCATTTTTGGTACAAACATCTTTGACAAAGACCAACAAGAGATCCAAGCTTTTAGCAACCCCCACCAAATGTTTCAAATTACTGTTTTCAGAAAAAACTAACCCTTTTTCATACAGAATTTCATAAAGTGCACAGATGATTTATAGAACAGGACATGCTTCCAAATGTTGTAATAATTGACTCATTAGTGAGACTTTAAAGTTCCCATCTGTGCCATAATAAATCGTGATCTAAAATATTGTAATTAAGGGAGGACAAAACAAAAATATACTCAAAACTTGTATGCAAAACTTAGATCTATTCTTGACTTTTGGATTAAAACTTAATTGTGTAATTTTGTGTATCGTCAAAAGCTTTTTACAAAGTCAATGATCTGACAATGATCTTCTGCACTTTGTTAGATTTAAGGCTGATTTATCACAGGTGGCATAAAAAGCAACATCAAAGATTAATTTGAATCAGTCTACAAACTGTTTACTTTGAAAAAAAATAAAATGACAAATAAAAAAAAAACAAGTCATCTGGCTTTTTATCAAAACAAATGAACAAACATAGCTATTCTTTTACATATCAGAGCTTAGCAACATGTCTTCAAGTGCTCTCTTGACTTTTCTATCTGGTATTAAACGTCCTGTGATCCAGGCACATTGAGGAAGTGAAATAACATTAATTAACACAGTTTGGCTGCACTCTGACTGTGACATGCAGAGGGTATTAACACCACAACAGGAGAGAAATCTAATTAGATAGAAAGCTTCACATTTCAACCAGCAAACTGATTATGTTAGTATGTGGCAAATCAAAATGTTTCTCGTTATAATTGGATCACAGTGACAGACCGTGAGAAGTGGTGATGGGTGACGTTTCTCTGTAGCCTAAACTAACCGGAAGCAGTATACAGGAACTGGGACTTGGTTATCCAAAGAGTGAATACAAAGATCAACCATGTGATTATAGTTAGTAGTTATTAAAGCCAGTGATTAGTACATTGTTTATTAAAGCATGTTACATGTTAATTTGTCTCACATCCTTATTAATGTGAACTAGCCGTGGAGCATTTTAACTATGATCAGATTGGGCTAAACCTGCATTGAATCAGTCTTTATGATTGGAAAGATAATCTATATTTCTATAATAATTGAATCTATGTGTTTTGTTAAGTCCCTACAGATAAAATATTTATGAATTGAAGCTTTATATGTAACTTTTAAGGCTTTAAGGCAGATAATATTTATTTAGTCATTAGTCTGACCAATCCCTGATCTGTGCTGCTGGTCGAAACATGTAGAGTAGCAGTCATTCAAAATGGCTCATCCCTGTCAAAAGCCAGCCGAACGGCAGCAAAATCCCCTCTGACTTCTAGCCACTGGGCTTCTCATGAGTTTGCTAATTTTTTTGCTCCGACTCCACCCTGGTCTGACCAGGAGATAACACTTCTCTTTAGATCTTAATGTCCAAAAATCATGACAGAAAGAATATTTTACTCTTTCTCTTCACCCTGACCGGTTTCGATCGTGGGTCTCCAATACATTGCGCCATTCTTGCTTGTTCTCAGCCTTTGTCATGTTCCTCTTCACGCCCTTCTCCCCTGTGATCACTTCCATGTCGTCAATCCATATTGTGCATCCTTGTTTGGCATGTGCTTGAGCCACCATCATTTTTAAGTCCAGACCAGATGAGGCCCGGCTGAAATGACAGAAGTACAGCAACTTTTTGGAGGAACTCTTTGTAGCACCTCCTCATTGCGTAACATCTCCGTCCAACCAAAGCTTGAATATTTTACATATTTAAAAAGGATTTGAAGGGGACTAGTCAAGGACCAGCCAAGGGCCCATCAAGGAAAGTTGGGACATTTTGAATGGCTACTACTGTATTGCCTTTTCTTCCTCCATTTTCATCAGAAAATGTGACACAATGGTAACAAATGTTACATAACTCTAAATTAAAAAAAATGTAATTCATTAACAAATTATTTACATTGATATTGATACATTGATATTGATATTTACATTGATATTACATTGATTATTTACATTGGCATGTGTTTCACATGATCCTAAGGCTTGGCTGCTGAATGCACTAATGAATGAGCTAACCTGTGCATGGATGAGCTGATGCAATACAGGAAAAGAAAAACCACTATCAGCCAGGTGATGTATCAGCGTACTTTAAAAAACCAACAACATTACTGAATGATTCTTCAAAAAAATCTCTATCCCATTAAAGCAAAGTTAGCAAAAAAAAAAAGTGCATAAAGCCCTCTAAATTCCCTGCTATTTTAGTGCACAAAGAAAGGTTCAGCTAATTCCAATTTGAGATTTTCTTCTTTTATCTATGATTTTTTTTAATGAAAATTCACTGAAAGTTTGCTTAAATTAATTGGCTTTATGGTTTGGAAATCACCTCAAATCCCTTTCCAGCCTGACACATCTGCTTTTCTAGTGTCGTGATAATATCTTTCTATCTTAGTATCGTAAAATCTTTCCTGTTTGTGCCAAATGCATTGAAGTTTGCCTTCCTCTGTTGTCATGTTTTTTAGGAAAAGTGATTGCTCCATACTGTAGTCCTTCTATAATGATGATAGGCATCAAGCCTTCACATTTTACCAGTTTGCATTATAGTTTATTGTAGACTGTTTGCATTTATACATGACTGAGCTAAAATGTTAAGTATGCATTTAAATTTTATCTGATCGTATATTTATCTTTAAAGTATCTTTAACATTGGTGATCAAGAATTTTTGCAATAAAGTTAATCAAAAAGAAAATCAAATAATCATAAACTCCTAGATGAAGGATGGTTTTCATACTACCTGAGGTTGAGTTAATCAATAAGCTTTTGTTAGGATGAGGGCTGCTCATTGAAGGCATCTAAAGTTTAATAGGAATTTAAGTGCTTGAGATATTTAAAAAAAAAAATAAATAAATAAAATAAAGCTGGGCTGGGAAAATCTGACTTTACATTTTAACCAAATAAATCTATAAGTTACTATTTCGGGTTTCAGTCAGGAGAAGGAAATGCAGTATGTTCATTAGGTTTCCAAAAGAAAACATATAACATTAAAATCTAATTAGTGTCAAACAGAACTGATGTCTGACACACCATGCTCTACTGGCTTACAAATCTTAAATCCAACCTGTAGTCAGTAAAGAAAGTCAAACCCTTTGCTACAATCAGTCTGCACCGAGCTATAGCAGTGACAATCTTAATCTGGTGATTCATCCTGCCCTCCCATGCATGGTGCACGGCTCAGTGAGCAATATGTCACAAGGTGTGCCAGCAACAGTGCGAAACATCTGATCTGTGTCTGTACTGCCACACATAGTGAGACACGGAACGTAAGTTCTTCCTCCAACTATAAATTTATGTGAAGCATCAGTAGCCTAAAGCTAACTTTTTAATATTGTATGAAGCATGACGGCACCATTTGAATTTCTGAAAAACTGTTTCATTTCCATTTATCAAGTTTGTCAGTTAGCATTCAGGATGACAAATTACTGCCATCCATGCTGCAGATTACACAACATAAAAAAAAACATATCCTTTGAGTTCTAACCAGTTTTCATGTGCTCATGTCATTAATTTAGACTGAATGCTGATTTAGTCTTGTACTTCTGTTGTCACATCAGAGGTTTGCAAATCATATTCCTGTTAGGGAAGTTTTTATTACCTCCCATCCCTTGGATGTTCTTGTCATCAGATAGTCTTACACTACACTTCTTTAGTCCTTTTGAAGGTCAGAGAACAGCTAGAGGATTAAACATCAAAGGAAAATGGCAGAAGAAGAAACTTCAGAAAGCATGTTAATTTAGAGCCACCTAAATGAATCTATCAAAATCTTGCTTCATGGAACCAATTTAAGAAGTGATTAGTGGTTCAGATTAGCACTGCTTTCTCTTGTATTTTATATTTTTACTACAAACTATGGCAAAAAAAAAACATGTAAAGAATTTCTGAACCTGAAGTTTAAAATTTTGCACCTTTCCCATCACCAATAAAATATTGTTTTCCATTTAATTCCATCCTCCTTCCATAGTTCTCTTACAGTATCTCTGACCAGCTTCTGAATTCAGGAAAAAGACCTTCACAACATGCTTTGCTCTACTGGATTGTGTGTTCAGACTGGTGGGCAGTGTTTTCAGAGGCAGGCTAGAAATTTGAATTGGGGGCTGATGTGAGCAGAGCAGCTTCTCCCATGTTTTCCTTTATCCTCTTGTATAGCTAGTGGTAAACTGCAAACAGAGACTATTATGGATGTCGTCTTTTTACTTTATCATAAAGGCCAGATTTCTGAAAATGCTAAACAATATTGACCGAGCAACCGGGGGGAAACAACATAATCAG